CTTGCAGTGATTACTTTGCAACACTGCAGAAGATGAAGAACAGTTGAAAGCGGGAAGCTTACCGTGGGGTTTCCAGCATCCAGTCGAAGCTGAGGGTGGTTCAGATTCATGGAAGCGCTGCCATCATCAGCGCTGCTGCGCAGCAGGAGTTTGCTGGTTGCCCTGCTTCAGTGAGGGCTGAGCTGGACGACCTGCAGAAATTGTTCACAGAGAACTATGGAGACTGCCTCAAGGGCAAACTTCCCAGCACAACCGGCCTGAGCACAACGCCGGAGGATCCAAGGGCAGCCAGCAGCGTTGGCCCACCTATCGCCCCATGAGGATGTCAGGCAGATCATTGTCATTGTGGAGGAAGTTATGATCCTTCGTAATGACCTTGAAAATGTGTACCTGGTGAGCAAGGACAGACTGTCAGTGCGCTGAGCTTTTTCTTGCAATGAAAACTCGTTTTTGGTTGCCATTGGCATGCAGGAGGCTGCAGTTCTTCCTCGTGGGTCACGCATTGGAGGCATCGGGTCTGGCAAGGTTAAGCAGCTAGAGCCTGATGCGCAGAGCTGTGGCCCCGTCTTTGGGTTGAAAGATGACAAGGCAATGATTGAGGTCGCTTGGCATGAACAGGTTTGGGCGATATAGATTCTGATATTATCCTTAACTTCTGGCCTGCCAGTCTGTTTGCCCAGGTTGGAGCCTCTAGCGCTAATGAGGAAGATGAGTCAGCTTCACAACAACGGGGGTCATTCTACATGGTGTGCAAACACTTTTATCACATTGACAGGGCGCACAATTTCCATGTCTTCAGCAGGAAACAAAATGCCTTGAGAAACATGGCCATGAAAGGCCGTAAGGTCAAAGAGCACTTTGCGTGGCTTTGGCGCTGCGCATTTGATGCAACGCATGGCCGGCTTTCGGCCAAGAAACCATTTTTGACGACACCATGTGATATGAAGTTGCCAGCCAAACAGCCCATCAAGGTGACTTGTGATGAGGCTGCTGCTGCAACTGCTTAGCGGAAGCTCAGCGAGTTGCAGACATCAATGTAGCATGGGCTGAGTACCAGTGTGAGACCTCCGATGTGAAAGGGAGACAGTTGCGCATGCGCTTGAGTGTTTTTGTTGACACTTCACTTTGCGTTAGTGTTGCATTGCTGAGGTGGTGGCAACGACAGGCCTGGCACGCGGGCTGCTTATCAACCACAGTGCCTGTTTTTGTTCTACATCTGCACGGTATTCTTGAAAGCTGTGCGCTTTTTCCTGACAGCCATTTCCGGTTAAGTACGTCTTTTGCCTCCGTTCTCGACCACCATCATTATGGCTGCAGGCGCTGCAGCATTCGAGTGCTTGTGGGGGCCGGCCCCATCACCAAAGGAGAGTGTCAAGAAAGATGAGGCATCACCGCCATCTGAGAAGCTCACCGTCAGCATGAACTTGCATTGGCTCGGTCAGGCAGACTTGGAACTTCTCCACCAAAACAGCGTTCATTGTGGGACATGCTGAGCTCTTCCTCCAAGGAGTTGTCCGCTGAGCCTCAACGTCTCATGATTGAGGACGCTGGTGCTGTGCAAGGGAAGCAGCTGATGCTCACTGAGACTGATGGCAGCCTGGCATTGTCTGATCAGGGCTGCTTGGCGCTCACTGATGGGAAGCCACAATGAAAGTGATCCAGCAGGAGTACAAGCACCGAAGCCATTCAAAGGGATCCAGCAAAAGAACAAGTGCCTGCAGTCAGTCTTGGGCAGCAGCAGAAGAGGCGCAGGCACAGGCACAGACACAGACACAGACACGAGCGCACAAAACAAGTAATCTTTAGGCCTCTTAGATTTGGCAGTTTACTTCATTGCTTTAATGACTTCCTGCCCCTGTCCTGCCGTGATCGGTTGATCGGTTTCATCCAACAGCCCGTGATCGGTTTCAACTTTCATCCAACACCGCCAGCAGGCGGCCAGCAAGCTGGCCGCCAGGCCGTGCCTGACATCACTCTGTCTCAGATCAGTGCCCACAACACACTGCTGCGTGCAAGTGCCTCAGACCAGACTTCGCTGCACAAATTTGACAGGCAGGCAGGACTCCCACTCGCTGCAGTCACAGCTTGGGGCCTGGACTTTGCACTCCTCCACTACCAAGACCTGTTGTGCATGGATGAGTGACCAGCAGCAGCCCTGGCTGCCAGCCCCTGACTTGCCATCTCACTGGCGGCCAGCCAAAAAAACACGAAATGTGCAGCTGGCAAGCTGGCAGCTGGCACCAGCTAGCTGGCAGCTGGCGCCAGCTTGCTGGCAGCCAGCCTCCAGCAGCCAGCCTCTGGAGAAGAGGCCAAAGCCTCAGAGTGTTGCCCATTGCCTTTTGATGCCTTTTGCAAAGGGAGCAAAGGTTGGCTTAGGGCTTGTAATTTGTTTCATTGCTTCATTCTCAGTCTTCCATTGCCTTTCTTCATTCTTAGTCTTCCATTGCCTGTTTATTCTCAAGCACAGCAGGCGGTCTGGCAGGCATGATGCCCACCGCTTTTGCAACATTTGTGGTGCCCATTGTCGTGCCACCCAGAGGGTCCCTGCCCCCTCCTGAGCCGCAACGCCCGCCCCGACTCCAAGCTGGAGCCGCCAGCAAGGCACTGGCCGCCATGAGGCAGGCAGGCAGCTACCCGCTGAAGCTCCAACCCCACAATCTAGGGGGATGCTGAGGCCTTCTGCTCCAACTCCAAGGCAGCCCTCTTACCCGCCACCTGCTAGGTTGCTGGGCCGTGTTGTTTGTTTCAGCTCCTCTGCACCCACCACCTAGTAGGTTGCTGCGCCCGCCCAGGGCTCCTGCAATGTGGCAGCAGGATCCACCCAGCCCTTCATCGCACAGCAATGCGTCCACAAGGCCCAGCGGGCCACCGACAGAGCTGGCGGACATGGAGATGGAGGAGAAGGAAATGGAGGTGAAGAAGCAGAGCCTGTGGAAAGGAAAGGGAGGATGACTGTGGAGAGGACTGTGAAGCAAGGCCATGACGAAAAGGAGAAGCAGAAGAAACTGAAAGAGAAGAAGGTGAAGAAGCCGGTGAAGCCATGTGAAAACAAGGTGACCTGGCAGAAGAAGATGAAAAGCGAGGAGGTGAAGAAGCCAGTGCAAAAGAAGAACAAAGATGAGGAGGTGCAGCAGCTGGCGGAGAAGAAGAAGACCCTGCAAAAGAGAAAGGCGAGGAGGTGAAGAAGTTGAAGGCTACAACACTGGTGAAGAAACAGGAGAGCTCCGGCAAAGGTGGAAAGATCAAGTCGCTGAAGCATGGCACAGCGGCACTGGAGGAGAAGATGCAGAAAGCCTTGGACAAGTTCAACCAGAAGAGGCTGCAGAGGAAAGAAGAAAGCAAGCAGAAGGAGCAGAAGGAGCAGAAGGAGCAGAAGGAGCAGAAGGAGCATGAGAAGCGTATCGTGGAGAAGGAGCTGCAGACCAATGAGGCCAATCAGACTGCAGGCCAACGCACTCGCGAGGCCAGTCCAAAAACAACAAAAGCATTCTAGGGCTCCACTGTTGGTCTGGTTTGGTCTTTGTTGGGCTCGGCTTTAAACCAAGGGGCTTTCCATTTACCCCAAGGGAGCGCCCCTGGATGCCCCTGGGTTTCAGTAAATCCAAAAGTAGAACTCCAGATTCCCAACCAGGGCATTACTTGTTCAATACAAACATTGCCCAGCGTGCTCTCAAGCCTACAATCTCAAAACAGTGCCCTGAGGAAGCAGCATTGAAGAGAATGATGACCTCCATTGGCAAGGGCAAAGGCTTCAGTCCTGGGAAGTGGCCACAGCTTCAAAAGGGATGATTTGACTGCGTGCGTGAGGAGTACAAGATTTGCTGGTGTCTAAGTGCCACATGTGAAACTGACTGTTGCAAAGCAATTGCTGCTGGTGGCAGCTTGAAGCAACTTGATGCAAGGTGAGCAGCTGGCCGGCTCCTGATACTGGCACTCTGGGCCATCAGGCAATGCTGGGGGTGCGCCAAGCAGCGGTAGACAGTTCAACAATATGTGTGGGCTGGTCTGCTTGAAACTTCTTCAGGCGGCCACAGCATCAGCCAAATTCTTGGCTGCCAGCTAGCTGGCAGCCAAGCATCATCAAGCAAGTGTGACACTGGCAAACAGCTAGCTGGCTGCCAGTTGGAAAAAATATAGCCTGCAAGCTTGAATGGTATGTATAATACATACCATCCCTATCAAAAGCACTGGTGTTGTGTGGCGTCCTGGGTGCCAGCGCTTGGTGTTGAAAAAGTCGTGACACTTTACTGCACCCATGATTTTTTTCACGGGGGCTCAGCTTCTACTGTCTGCGTCTGTCTCACTGGTGGCAGTGAAGAGTGAGGCGCGCTCGCATTTTCCTTTTGAAGATTCCAGCGCTTGGAATTGAAAGAGTCATGCTCCTTCACTGACTCATGTGGATCGTTGGGGCGCAGCTTCTACAGTGTGCGTCAGGCTTCACTGGTGGCAGTGGAAGAGTGAACCCGCTGTGCCAACGGGCTCACATTTTCCACAAAGATCTTCATGCATTGGCATTCTTGCCAGTGGGAGTTGACCAAATGCCAACTGCAAAAAATGAAAACACCAGATACAAATGAAAACCCCAAATGCCTTGGCGCCAGCTTAATGCCAAGCGCAGCCACACCAACACATCGCGGCCGAATTCTTGCCAAACCGTGCCTGAACCCCGCCGAAGCGCATCATTTTCAATACAATACATCAGACGTCGTTTGTAGAACCGAGGCGCGACGGAAATTATTGGATGCTCTTTGGGGGGCAGCGACCTTCGCCTTCGTTTACCCTTGGCCAGCTTGCGGAAGCCCAAGCGCCTGCTGTCAAACTTCCCCATAGACAAGCCCGTGCGTCGCATAGACACCTTCATGCCGTGAGTCGTGTCAAAGTTTCAGAAATGCTTTCCTATAAGACTGAAGGGATGCTGTGTGAACATGACCTGTGTGCTCAAGCGCAGACTCTCGCCAAACACTGGCAGTTTTCTCATGTTGTCATTTCGCGGGCGTGAGGCCTGGCGAGATTCGAGCGCGGAGAAGCAGCTGCTGCTGGTGGCTGGAGACGTACACGAAGGCGCCGGAAGGGGCTGTTGCTATTGGTATGGAATCGGCGATCGGCAAGCAGCTCTTCATGCCCGCCAAGAGTTGGTGAAAAACGAATGTAGAATTTCATCTTGCTGGGCTGGTCGGATAGATGATGAACCCTGGACGCCAGAGTGCGTGAGCTTGTTGGTTGGGCGAGTCTCACGGAGGATAAGCCAAGGTAGCAGATGACTTGTGGCTTGATCTGGAGCACGCCAAGCTAATTGTCAGAACTTTGGCATTTATGGCGGCAAGCAACTTGTCACCGCAACACTGCTAACTCTTCGGCTCAAATCAGGCAATCGCTCGCATGGCAAACGTAAGAAAGTCGCAAAGCGTTTGTGTTTGTGGACGACGCGTTGCCGAGAGCAAATCGGTCGAAGCTCCAGCCTGGATGTAAGCTACTGAATACTCCCTGCATGGTTTTGGGTTGGACATCCGAATCGTGCTTACGCGTCGCAAAAGCCTTCCCGTCAATTCGTAGATTGGACTGCCGAAAACCGCAAAACCCGGAAATGGAGCGACCTGAAAGCAAAAACCCTGAAATGAGCGACGTTAAATCAAGCCCCCCTCCCCAAGAAAACGCATCATGACACCTGCCCGCCAGCAAATCATTCAAAGTCCTGGAGCATCCTGGACTTAGGAGGCCCTTCAAGGGAGGGCTGATGTTTGCCAAGCACGCGCGCTGCCATTGATTGAGCCAAGAGTGAAGGGCACCGACGTTTGACCTGGCTAGGCGGATGGACCGACCTCATCCTCCAGACGAAAGCCCGACCTTTGGCGGCAGTTGTGTGATCTGTCGTGCGGCAGGAAGCGTGTTTTATCATGTTTGCGTTGGGCCTATTTGGCTCAAGTCTCATAGGCCGGCCTTGTACAAGCGTTCGGCGTGGCACATGGTGTAACTCGCTGGTGATGCTGGAACAGACCAAATCACGGAGGCTCGAGTTCATCACGCCTGTGGCCAAACGATCAAGTCCGCAAGCTCCAACAGCAGGAGCTTTCGAAACAAACGCAAAGCTCGAAATGCAGGCCAACAATTCAAGGAGGAGTTGAGGAAGCGCCACCTTTCTACTGAGGCGCATCTGCATGAAGCTGCGCAGCAGAATTTCGGCGAAGTGAGCGCGTTTCAGAATGAGTGCACTCCCTTGAGTCCCAAGTTCATGCCTTGGAGTCTGATGAGGCTGTTCAGGCTAGAGAAGACAAAAGGAGGGGGTGGAAAGTGACGACGAGTTGGCCTAGGGCCGTCAGGGTTCGGGGACGCTCCAGTCTTCCTGAATCATCTTCGGCTGACCCGAAGATTTCCAGACAGGAAGCCGATTTTGACTCTCCTTCATGGTTGACGATAGACCAGATGAACATATGAAAAGGACACAGCAATCGATCGCCAAACTGGCCAAACAAGCGAGTGAAAGGAAGGCAGATGCTTTTCGTGGTGTTAAACAGTTTTCGTACTTGCGGCAGAGTGGACCCCGTGTTCCGCGGTGAACACCTCTTCACTTGCTCATGACAAGAAGATGGGTGACTTCGAGCAAATATGGTCCGGGAATGAAGTCGGCGCCTCCCGGTTGCAAGCTCAGGGAACTTGAAGGGTATGGAGTTGTCCCCGGCATAGGCGAGGGGGTTGAGGTTGTCGTCGTCCAACGCTGCTTCTCTCGCAGCTTGAAACCTCAGCCACGCGCGTTGACCAACAGAACCGAGGGGCTTGGGCCACTGCCCAGATCTGACGCGACCTATTTCATTTTTACAGGCCACCATTCCTTGTCAAGGCTTTAGGGTTGCTCCAATTTCTCGGCGAGAGCGATCCGACCCGCTCAACGTGTGCAGAATGTTCACTTAAGCGCGCAGAGGGTTCGCTTTCGACGCACACTCATGGCACCGCGCCACAGCGAGAGCGATTTGACTCACCCAAAATTTGCGCAGAGGGTTCACTTTTGATGTTCAGAATGCCACAGCGAGCGCGATCCGACCCGCCCAATTTCCGCAGAGGGTTCGCTTTCGATGCTCAATCTTGGCGCCGTGCCACAGCCAGAGCGATCCGACCCGCCCAAGGTGCGCAGAGGGTTCACTTTCGATGTCGTTCAATACTCGCACCGCGCCACTCATCCGACTCGCCGAAAGTCCGCAGAGGCTTCACCTTCGATGATCGCGCCGCATTACAGCGAGAGCGATCCAGTCCGCCCAAAGCGCACAGACGGTTCACTAATTAGCCGTTTTCGGAATTCGCGCAGTGCCACAGCGACACCGCACCCTCGAAAGACATCAAACTCGTCCCACCACTCTGTGGGAGCCTGAACAGTCAAGATGCGCTGCAACATCTAACGAATACAACGGAAATGGTCCAGGTCAGATCGAGCGCCCTAATCTAGCACCGAGCCTTTACACTTACCGTAAGAACCCCATAGTCTTTGCACACTGTTTAGGCAAACACAAGTTTTCACAACTTCACTTGCAAGATTTGTAATTCTGGAAAATATGTGCTTGACATGTTTCCAAATTTCGAAATTCTAGGGTATGTTCTTTCAGGCAGGTTTGGCTGGAATTCCATTACAAATAAAGCAAATTATTATGTAACAGCTGCAAAATTTCAGCAGTATTCTACAGAGTTCAAATTGTGCAAACTAATTTGTAATATGTAATTTCCCAGAGTAAGTTTTAGTTGCAGTTTAAAATGTGTAAGGTGTTCAAGACGTCTGGCGCAGAATCAAAATTTTCACAGTTTTCAAATTATTCTGTAAACTGTGTAAAATTCAATAATATGCCCGAGAATGATTAATTTCGGAAATTCATTTGGAACTGTCTGTAGAACTTGTGTAATTTGTGTTGGAGTTCCAGCCGAACCCCCTGTAAGCAAATTCCACAAAGTACGATTCAATTGAGTTTGCAATTTCTAAACACTACAAAAGAATTTGCAAAACCCATCGTTTTTCCCGTAAGTACATAGTTGTGCAAGTGTATTGCTTGAAAGGAAGAAAAACCAGAGAAACTGGTTAACCATCCTTTCCGCTCGCCCGTCTTTTGCATCGGGGTTGAAAATATCTACGCAAAAGAGTTACGAAGAGGAAAGCAAAAATTCAAGACAATGAAAGGAATAAGTAATGTCAATGCATGAAACGGTGTGTTGGCTTACCTCGTCCTCAGGTCCTTTTCATTTTGAAACTGTGTTCTTCTTGTCCACCAATAACCTGCTACAACACAGCCTATAACCTAGAGTGCCAAAACATTGGGTAGGATAGGAATACACGAGGAGAATAAATGAGATATGATAGTAAATAGGACTACTACAACATCATATTTCGACATTCTGTTTGTATTGGCTTTTAGCTCACCTGGCCACTCCATCCAAGCTACGCTAATATACTGGGGAAGGCATCGCGTGACGAAGAAGAAAACTGTTTTTTAAATATAGACATGTTGCTTCTGAAGAAGCTGCTGGTCTTTATTCCTCGAACTTATATTTGTACCTTCTCTATGCTTACTTTCTTTATATCTCTCACTCGCTTCCTATCTTGTCCTTGTAGTATTTGCAAACTTCTGGAGTTTAGGTGAGAAAGAAGAGGGTATTAATAGCCCAAGAGTTTGGAGAAGAAAGGAATACAGACTATCTAGCTGGTTTCCCCAGTTAATATCTTTTGTGGGTTACAATGCTAGGTGTTAGTGTTTAACTATGTGTATTTCTTAATATCAATTTGAATGTGTAAAGATCTCTACTTTCCGACCGGATTATTAACTACCTTGTTTCGGGTGGCATTCACATGTCACATTCTCGTTTTAACGGGCTTCCTTTCGCCTTTCAAGTTCCCAAGCTAAAAGCCAATAACGATAGAACCCTAATGAATCTTAACTAGTAATTTTGTTGCTAGAAGTGTTCGAAGGAAGGGCTTCTCAATCTTTATCCGATGAATATTACCTTATCTCAGAAGACTGCCTGCCCAGATATGGTGATAATTGAAGAATTGCTTAACACTTATGCAGTAGAAGTGATGTCTCATGGACAGGCTACCTCTCTAGACATCTTTTTTTATCTCTTTAACTATTCTTTCCCTTTGTACTAATCTTATGAACGCTTACTATTTACTTCTTCCCCAAGAACACACAATCTTCTCCAACTCTTTATCCATTACTTTGACTTTCACCATAGCACTTTTATTCTCAGCTTTTACCCTTTTCATGCCCATCGGAGCTCTATGATTGTGAGCTAGGTCACGATAAAAATGGAAATACGGAAGTGATAGAAAGGATGGTAACGTTCTATTGTTTAGAGTAGTATTACCTCATGAAGGTATTCCGAGTTTTTCCGCTCTCTCCCAACCAAAAAACAAAAAGAGGGTCGTGAAATCATGTGGTCTTCATCATCCCTCACCCTCGTTTCTTGCGCTACAAGTTCACCGTTTATGATTGAGGGCGAGGCGTGCGAAGACATTCCTTTCTACTCTTAAGATTATCTGAAAGACAAGGGAGAGTGGGGAATGACCAAGAGAGAAAGGAGAGAGAGGAACGGACGACCGAGCAGGCGGCATTAACAGTTCTTAGTTTTCCCGCCTCTGCCACCAAGCAGTTTTGATTCGGGTTCATTGCAGCCCATGCGCGACGATGAGCCAATGTGCTCTGTTTTCCTGCGCGCAGTAGCTCTGTGCTTTGTGTCAAAAAAGACGCGCTCGGCGGCGCATTGTGCATCGTCTTCCCTGCCGCGCGCCCGGGGGGGGTTTTCCGTTTAGACGAGGCAAGAATCCGCGCCAAGGAACATTTCTGCAACACAAGACAACAACACAAACAAGACTACATACTCCAACATCCTGGCCGAGCTGGCGGATTCACCCTTTTCCTTTTTGCGTAGATGGTACGTATCTATTGTCAGGAGATTCTCTGGGCTATTGCCCAGTTGCCTGTTTGAGCCTTCGCGCTGAGAACTGTCTGGAGGTGGACCGGGATGTGTGGGCATATTGTCCACATCCCTGTCTTCACTGATGCTTCCCTTTGAGTGAGTTTTGCGTCACTTTATTCTTCGTGTTGACACGGGGGAAGCAGCTCGACGCCGCAGCTGACTCCAACACCCGGGCGCAATCCCAATCACTAGGGGTTGATTCCGCGGAAGGAGAAACACGCGCTTGTGCTCTGTTGGTGGCAGCGCCATTCTTTCGCGGGTAAAACTGATTCATGTATAGTGCTCTGCTCTTGCTCGGCAGGCTCTTGGTTTGCTGTCTAGCTGCTGCGCTTTTGCGGAAAATGTTTGTTGTCTGTTTCCGTGCTTGCGTAAACATAGGGTTATGTTTTTCCAGGGGTCGGGGTTTTGGCATCGTTTGGCATGCTGTGGAGCGGTTGAATACTTTCAAAACATTTTACAACGTCGCCCTGGATGATCTCATTATTCTGGTTCCTCGCATCAGTTAAATAATCGGGAAATCCAGGAAAGCAGTTTCACAATCCTGCGAAATCTTTTGATTGATGAAAACAGCTGCCAAAAAAGGGGGTCGTTAAAAGCAATCGTAGGATTCCGGAAAAAACCTAATCAGGTTGAACAAATACGTATGTTAACATGTGCCCCTCTGATTTTCTAGCTATTCCAGTTCTGTTCCTGGGAGATGCGCTCGCGCCACATGGGACGGAATCTTTTCGCATACGGAGGGGAGGTGGCCGCACGTTGGGCGGTGAGGAAAGTTGTATGGAAAAAATGTTTTGGCCACGTCCGGCTGTTCTCAGCCTTTGTCCGGCAACTGTACGCGTGCCGAGCTGCCTCACCGAGCCCAGCATTTGCAACTAAATCATTAAGTTTGATCCTTTCTGTATTTGCTTGAGGCGCCGTTTTTGTTTGCGCGGTCACCGATCTTCCACCCGGACTGAAGCTGTAAAGTTGATCCTGGCTTTGCCACAAATGCATTGAATCGAGCTGCCGGGTTCCACAGCCGGTGCTGACGATGCACGCCGTCGGGAGAGTCGCAACGATGTCAACTGCATTCAGCATCGGTCAGCGCATGTTTTACGCCAGGGCCGTAGGGCAGTTTGTCACGACCGAGTTTTCGAGCCTTTAGCTGACAGGTGTTGCGCGTGAGGCTGATTTTGAATGACTCAGGAGAGGGCGGTGAACAGCGGCTTCGGCAACTCACTACTTCAGCCATATGCAACTGGCCCTTTTTGTCCTGAGTGTTGCAGAAAAATGTTTCCATCGGCGTGCCATCAAGAGCTGCTAGACTATGATTTGCCTTTTGCTCACAGGGTGCCTGCCAAAGGCAGACAGGTTGTATCAAGTCTGCTTGTGAGAACCCAATAGGATACCCACATTTCAGTGGTCTTATGATAGTATCTGCAAAGGGGAGTGTGTGAGGCGCACTTGTCGAACGGCACGTTGTGTCACTCAACCACTTCCCATGTCAATTTGAGTCAGCATCAAAACCAACCTGAACTCCTATGTTGGTATCGATTCCCTATTCGCGTTCGATGTTGCATCGCGCAAACATGCGCGGTCGCCGAGAGAAGACGTTTTGGCGTAATGACTGGGCAAGCAGGCGTGCAATTGTCGCCTATAACATGAGCTTGAGGTTGTGAGCAGGTTCTTATCGAGAGCTCCCGGTGAGTGGGTCGTCATTTTTCTTAACGGCAACTCAGGGCATAGAATTGGGCAGCGGAAGTTTGCTTGGGTTGGCGCGTGTCGCTGACGAAAGCCATCAGGCAACAAGATGACATCTGCTGGAGAAGCGCTGGCGGCCCCTAGACACTGATTGGGGCAGAGACGGGAGAACTGATTTGCGCGGCCGGGCGCATGAGTGGCTGTCATGGGGCAGAGACGGCTGGGCCCATGAGTGGCTGTCATGGGCCAGAGACGGGAAGATTTGGCTGTCACAGAGATGGGGGGACTGATTTGGCGCGGCTGGCTGTCATGGGGCAGAGACGGGAAGACTGGGCAGAGACGGGAGGACTGAATTTGCACAGCTGGGCCCATGAGTTCGGCTCTCATGGGGCAGAGACGGCAAAAACTGATTTGTGCGGCTGCCCGTGAGTTTGGCTGTTATGGGGCAGAGACGGGAGGACTGATGACGGAAAGCGCTTCTTTGAAGCGGTTGAGAGTTGGGCCTACAGGGGGGGGAGCGGGGGGGGCCTGATTTGCAGAATTTCGCGCCAGAAAAAGAGGGCTAAAATTTGGGTGTCTTTTCCATCTGTCCGGGAATGGCTCGTTGGCTGCCTTTTTGTGCAAAAACCTGCGTTTTACCACGCTTTTGCAAGGTACTTTCTGCGTTGAGCTGGCTCGTTTTGCGTGCCTTTTTTTTGCATTTTCTGGGTCAAAAAAGACGGCTAGTTGTCCGCTTCTCCTTGCTTCTTTACTGCTTGCGTGTTTCGTGCTTGGACCTGCCTCGGGGATGCTGGGGATGCTGGGGGTGCTGGTGGCTCAGCCTGCACGCGGGAAGCACTGGGCAAGGCCATCACCTGTTGGAACATCCTACACACTGATTGCATCCGCGCAAGCTCTGTTCGTCGCTAGTTTTCCGGCAATTTTCAGCGGGGCAGCTTTCGTTGGGCCAATGTGCTGGCTGGGCATTTCGGGAGTGCATGCGCGTTGGCGCTTAGAAGGGTTGTGCAGATATTGGCTTTCTCTGACTTGCAACGAAACAAAGGCAAACCATAAGTAAACCAAAGGTACACCAAGAACAAGCCAAAAGCAAACGAAACCCAAACCAGAAGCAGCCAAAAGCAAGCCAAAATAAAACCAATGGCAAACCGCAGGCACAACCAAAGAGCAATCCAAAGGCAAACTAAAAGCAACCCTAAAGCAAACGAAAGGAAAACAAGAGGCAAACCAAAGGCAAACCAAGATCAAGCCAACGGTAAGCCAAAGGCAAAGAAAAGGTCAACCCACAGAAAACCAACGGTAAGCCAAAAGCAAGCCAAAGGCAAACCAAAGGTGAACCTTTTGAGCAAACCCAAAGCAAGCCAAAAGCCAACCGCATGCAAACCAAATGCAAGCCAAAGGCAAACCAAAGTCAAACCAAAGGTGAGCCAAAAGCAGACCAAAAGCAAACCAAAAACAAACCAAAAGCAAACCAAAGTCAAACCAAAGGTAAACCAAAAGCAGGCCAAAGGCAAAACCAAAAGCAAACCAAAGGTAAGCCAATGGCAATCCAAAGGCAGACCAATAGCTAACCAAAGGCAAACCACAAGTCAAACCCAACTAAAAGCAAGCCAAAAACAAACCAATGGCGAAGCACAAGTAAACCAAAACGAAACCAAAGGAAAGCCAAGAGCAAACCAAACACACACCAGGAGCAAACCAAAGCCAAGCCAGAATCAAAGAAAAACAAGCCAAGCCCAACCCAAAAGCAAAGCAAAAGCAAGCCAGGAGCAAACCAATGGCGAACCAAAGGTAAACCAAAACGAAACGAAAGGAAAGCCAAGAGCAAACCAAGGGCAAACCAACAGCAAAACAAAGGCAAAGCAAAAGCCAACCCAAACCGAACCAAAAACAAGCCAAAGGAAACCCGACAGCAAACCAAATGCAAACCAAAAGAAACCAAAGGCAAACAAACGGTTATCCAAACGCAAACCAAAGCCAAACCCAAAGCAAACCAAAGCCAAGCCAAAAGCGATCCGACGCAAACCAGAGGCAAACCAAAAGCAAACCAAATGCAGACCAGAAGCAAACCGAAGCACACCAAAGCAGAACAAAGGCAAATCAACAGCAAACCAAAGTCAAACCAAAGGTAGACCGAAAGCAGACCAAAGGCAAGCCAAAAGCAAACCAAAGATAAACCAATAGCAAACCAAAGGCAACCAATAGCAAGCCAAAGGCAAAGCCAATTACGAACCAAAGGTAAACCAAAACGAAACCAAAGGAAAGCCAAGAGCAAACCACAGGCAAACCAAGAGCAAACCAAAAGCCGCCAAAAGCAAGCCAAAGGAAAGCCAATCGCAAACCACTGATAAACCAAAGGCAATCCAAAGGCAAACCAAAAGCAGTCATGGGGCAGAGACGGGAGGACTGGTTTGCGTGGCTGGGCCTGTGAGTTTGGGTGTCATGGTAGATCAAAGCCAGTTGTTAGTTCTTGAGCTACGCTTACTCCGCAGTAGTTGGCTAGGAACACGAGCGGCGTGGGGCTCGCAGACTCACATTGTTCAGTTCATGGGACATATAAGAACACCTAGTTGCCACTCAGAGACCTATTGTCACCTGCTTTCCCATATAGATTTTGAAAAGCAGTCACAGGTCACAACCCTGTGGGGCAATGTCCCAACTCAGGAAATGCTGGAGGAGTGCTGTTGTGAGGCATGACTGGAGGAAAATGCATGCCGCGTTAGCAAATGCGGCGTGAGCTTTGCAGGGCCACTTCGGCGCCAGCAGTTCCCTTTCTTGATTGGACATATTGGAACACTATCCTTTGAGGCTTCTCAATGCTGCAGGTTGTTTTGCCCATCTCAGGTATCTTTGACCCGCGGCGTGCTCTCCAGCATTGACGTGACTGATGCAAGCTTAGATGGGGGAAGATGTCAACTGCCAGCTTCAGAATCGCCTTTCTGAGTCGCATTGTGCTTCTGCAAGTCATCCTGATCACCTTGCCAAGTTCTTTGGTGGTCTCCTTGTCAAAAAGGCGTGCTCACTTGATGCGCAGTACGCTAAGAAGGTTGTCGGCTCAATTTACCTCACAGCTACGCAAGCAACTGTGAGCTGCGATTCCCGATAGAGTGGCTGCCGGCTTGCTTCGGTTTACGTGCGACATGTTTCGAGTATTTCCAGCCTCGAGTACTCTAATTCATCAAGCAGCGTTACGGTGAACATGAAGACCTTGCTTTGCGTTGCATTTGCTTACCAGGTTGGAGTGCATTTTTTGTCAGAATCCTGGTCATACTTGCGTAGCAGCTCTGAGGACACAGGCACTGGTTGGTGCAGCCGCCACTATGACTGGACAAACTACCGCAACTACGCACTGGTGGATGTGGTTTGGGGCACCGAGGGCAAACTCAAGGTGCCGCAAGTCGCGAGTTGGCGGCGATAAGCGTATTGTCACTTAGGACTTGTCACTCCGCGCGCGTGCGCCGTGCGTGTGCGTGCATTTCTGTGTGTGTGTGTGCGTGAGAGCGTACGTGTGTGTGAGTGCGTGTGTCTCTGTTTGAGTCTGCGTCTGCGTGTGTGTCTGTGTCTGTGTGTTTCTGTGTGTGTGTTTGTGTGTGTTTGCGTGTGTGTGTGTTGTGTGTGTGTGTGTGTGTTTGTGTTTGTGTTTGTGTTTGTGTTTGTGTTTGTGTTTGTGTTTGTGTTTGTGTTTGTGTTTGTGTTTGTGTTTGTGTTTGTGTTTGTGTCTGTGTCTGTGTCTGTGTCTGTGTCTGTGTCTGTGTGTGTGTGTGTCTGTCTCTGTTTGTGTGTGTGCGCGTGCGTGTGTGCGTGCGTGCGTGCGTGCGTGCGTGCGTGCGTGCGTGCGTGTGTGTGTGTGTGTGTGTGTGTGTGTGTGTTTGTCTGTTTGCGTTTGCGTGTCTGCGTGTGTCTGTGTGTGTGTGTGTCTGTGTCTGTGTGTGTGTCTGCGTGTGTGTGTCTGGGTGTGTGTGTGTGTGTCTGCGTGTGTGTGTGCGTGTGTGTGTGTCTGCGCGTGTGTGTCTGCGTGTGTGTGTGTGTCTGCGTGTGTGTCTGTGCGTCTGTCTGTGTGTGTCTGTGTGTCTGTCTGTGTGTGTCTGTGTGTGTGTCTGTGTGTGCGTCTGTGTGTGTGTGTCTGTGTGTGTGTCTGTGTGTGAGTGTGTGTGTGTGTCTGTGTGTGTCTGTGTGTGTGTGTCTGTGTGTGCGTCTGTGTGTGTGTGTGTGTCTGTGTGTGTCTCTGTGTGTGTCTCTGTGTGTGTCAGTGTGTGTGTGTCTGTGTGCGTGTCTGTGTGTGTGTGTCTGTGTGTGTGTCTGTGTATGTGACTGTGTGTGTCTGTGTGTGAGTGAGTGTGTGTGTGTGAGTGTGTGTGTGTGTCTGTGTGGGTCTGTGTGTGACTGTGTGTGTCTGTGTGTGAGTGAGTGTGTGTGTGTGCGTGTGTGTGTGTGTGTGCGCGTTTGTTGTTATTTGCCTGCGCGTTCGCCGTTTTGTTGGTGTGTGTGTTTTTCTTTTCACCTGTTTGTGTGTTGTTGCGTTTGTGCTTGTGCTTGTCCGTGTATGCTCCTGTATTTTATTTGTGTGTGCGTGTCCCTCTGTGTGTTCGCGCATGCGCGTTGCCATCTACTCGCATTGTGTGTGTGGGTGGGCGTGCGTTGGTGTGTAAGGCTACTGCAAGCTCTGACACAGGCACGTTGATTGTTTGGTTAATTAGTCTCGAATCTGCTGATAGTGCCCAGTCAGGTTCAATCCATGTGTTGTCCCACCCTTCTAGCACTTGGCTCGCCTCAAGGTGCGCGTGCTGCGTGCGCAGCAACTGATGGAAAGCAAGGAGAGCCTACGGGTGGGATGACTGCTGCAGTACTCTCAGACGTTCTTGCCTTAAGACTACTACGCCCAATATCTTTGTTTGTCTCAGTCAGCGGACCAACTAGACGATATGTAGGTGCCATACGTCTCATTTTCACCGTTGGGGCAGTGTGAGATGGTGCAAACATCAACGAGGTTTATTCAGACTCAGATCCGAATGGCATTCCAGAAAAAGAAATCCAGGAAACAGTGTGCGATGGTGCATGCTCATGTTGGTCAACTACATTGGGGTACTGAGGTGGGCGGGGTAGGGTGGGGAGGGGTAATAGAGTGCGGGGCACAAATTACTCGGTCGCTTGCTGTTTTTGGGTTGCCTTAGTGTCACGCAGGCAGAGTGGACTTATACATGCCCTAGCATGTGTCACCTTGCTAGTTTAGACTGGTCACACAATTCGTTCAGTCCTGGGAGCCATTGTTCGCTGCAGTTTGCCAAGAGTGTTCCGTTGCATCGTGATTGTCGAAAGGCTGGCAACACGCGAAGAAGTTGCTGTCACCTTGTCTCACGCTAAGAAGAAAGGCGGGCTGCGTCCCAAGCTGTGGCGGTACTTGTGGAATTTCCATTGGCTGCGCATGATTGCTCGAAGGAACCAATGCCACCATTGCTTCACGCCCAGAAATCCGGATTGGGCGCCCGGATTGTGAATTCCTCCACGCCGTTCGTGGCGGCGTGACTTAGTTTTTGGGTAGGAGGGCGTGTAAGGATCGTGATCATTTGGCTTCTGAATGTGGCTACCATCCGCGTGAGGATGTTCTTCCATGGTCCTCTGCGGCAGTTGCTCTGACCGTGGGCGAGCAGACGTTCACGACCCACGCAGTCTGCCGCTTGGATTTGTTAGCTGCCAGAGAAGAGGGGTAGGAAGACAGCCGACCAGGATAGTTGTTTTGTTGAACGAGACTGATTGCGGTGTTGGTCCAGACTGAGTGCATTGATCTGCCTTAAAGCCCTGCACTTTCCTGAGAGAGGCATAATTCTACGCGTGTAAGGGTCATAACAATCAACTTGCGACACGGTCAAAGAAACAGCTCTAAAGCTCACAACGTGTGGAACGACGCCTTGCTCATGGCAACGATGCCCAGGTTGGTGAGTAAGCGCGCTTCATCTAAAGGCCTTGCTCTTGCATGCGCACACGCACGCGCAAGTCAGCTCGGGCCCGCTTGCTGGCCGTCCACAGCTTGTGAGCTGTGGACACCGACGCTTGCAGACATGGCAGGCAGGCCCGCTTCTCTCCCTCGGTGTTTTCCGAGTACCGCTCGGCGCCGCTGTGTTTTCTGTTGGCGCACTGGGAGCTTGAGGTTTTCTCTTCCCTGAACACAGAGCCCCACGCATTCATTCATCGCTAGTCTAGCTTTCCGCGGGGTTTGTTCCCGTGGCCAACATTCAGCATTGCCCGACGGGGCCTGTTTGCTCCGGCCTGCTGAGCTCAGGGCAGTTAGTTTGACGGCTTGACGAATTTCACGCAAGGCTTGATGATTGAGAGATGTCGCTTTCTGTTCTCAATCTGCCGGATGCTAGGCGATGACACCAGTCCTGTGTGGAACTCCAACGAGTTCGAATTTGCGGTGAAGCCAACGGACTTCTTCCTCGAAGTGATGCTTGCCTGACAGTGGAGCCTTAGCACGTGGCAACAATCTCTCGCGCAATCCCCAAAAATAACGCGCTTCGTGGTTACTGCGCGTCCAAATGCCCTTTTTTTGCTCTTTGCGCAACAAAAGTGTAGCTGATGGATGGGTACTTTGGGGATCAAACCGCAGGAGATTTCATTATACTGGCTAATAGGCTAGACCTGCCCGTGTTCGCTGTACTGCAGCTGATTGTTTTGTTTGAGCTGCCACTTGGCTTAGTGCCCTTGAATCGTTTGTATTTTTGTGTGACGTCATGATTCGCCCACACTGTACGTTTGTTTTTTGTCTGCATGAGCACGCAAAACCCCTTGTGGATGCAACTGCGTGTTTGGTAGTACCGCACTATGGTTGCAGCAGATTTGCGGCAGGGCCCAAAGGAAGGGGGCCCCCCATATGAAAAAAGAAATCGTATATATATATATATATTATATGAGTCAACTTCAGAATTACCAAAGACCACTTTATCAACGGCGTTTCATTCAAGACTGCTTTTTTGCATTTTCCTTGGAGAACGATAGGGGACTCACTAAAAACGATACCCCTCTGAACATGGCTTGTGAACATGATGCATTCATTCACGTCTCAAGTTTCATTCTGCTTGCAAGCAACGTGGGGCGTTGAGCGGCGTGAGCGGCTCACATGACTACCGCAAGGCAGAGAAGGCTATTGTGTGCTTGCTTGGCTCTAATAGCTTGTAGCAAAATGTGAAAGTTTTCCGCAACTTGACACACGCCCAGAACGATACCCCTGTCGATACCCCATCGATACCCCTGCAATGTCCCGGAGTTGCCAATGTGAGGCACATCCTTCAGCAGACATCCTTCAGCACACGCAGAAAGGGCCCGCCATGGGGAAGAGCGCTTCGTGTTCGAAAGGCTACGCATGTGGTCACGATGCCAACGCTGTGTTTGCGTAGAAAGTTTGTTGGGCACGTTACGAATTTGCACGGCGCCACAGCGAGAGCGCTTGGGCACGCAGGATCCCTGCAGAGGGTTCGTCGGGCACTTTTCAACTTCGCACGGCGTCACAGCGAGGGCGCTTTGACGCGCGCAATCCACGCATTCGCACGGCGCCACAGCGAGAGCGCTTCGAGGCGCGCGATCCCTGCAGAGGGTTCATCGGGCACTGCACGCACGCGCGAATCGTGGAGAACGATAGGGGACTCACTAAAAGTAGAATGAATACACCCCACGCAGCAAATATTGACGCTGGCTCATATATATATATATATCCCCCCATGATCCACATTTTTGTGTAGTGCTATGTATGTTTTGTAATGTAATGTGATGTATGCGTGTATGTATGTTGTGTATGTTATGTATGCAATGTACGTAAGTATGTATGTTGTATGTAGGTATGTATGTATGTATGTAATGTATGTATGTATGTAATGTATGTATGTATGTACGTGCGTACGTATGTATGTATGTATGTTGTGTTGCGTTGCGTTGTGTTGTGTTGCGTTGCGTTGTGTTGTGTTGTGTATGTATGTATTTTTGTACGTATATGATATGTGTATGTATGTGTGTTTGTATGCATGCACGCATTCATGTATGTGTGTATGTATGTATGTAATGTAATGTAACGTAATGTACTGTACTGTAATGTAATGTAATGTAAGTATGGTATGGTATGGTACGGCGCGGTATGGTATGGTATGTTATGTTATGTTATGTTATGTTAAGTATGTATGTAGTGTATGTAGTGTGTAGTGTTGTGTATGTAACATAATGTAATGTAATGCAACGTCGTGTATGTGTGTATGTATGTTATGTATGCTATGTACGTATGTATGTATGTTATGTGAGTATGTATGTAATGTATGTATGCGTGTGTACGTGTATGTATGTATGTATGTATGTATGTTATGTTATGTTATGTCCCCTGCTCTGGCTCTTCGTCTTGGCTCGCTTTACTTTTCCTTTACAAGAACTTACATGTGTTTAGACACGTGCCAAAAAGTGTGGTTTTACCTGCATCGCGGAAGGTTCGCGGAAGGGCGAGGCGGAAGACTCTTTTTGGAACAATGAATATGGGGTAAACTTCATGTATATATGTGTGTTATGTTATGTTATGTTTTTTTCGCTGCGCTATGTTATGTTATGTTTTGTTATGTTATTATGTGTGTAGTGTTATGTATGTTTTGTAATGTAATGTAATGTGACGTAATGTAGTGCAATGTGATGTATGCCTGTATGTATGTTATGTATGTTATGTATGCTATGTACGTAAGTATGTAGGTTATGTATGTATGTATGTATAATATATATATATATGTATGTATGTATGAATGTATGTATGTGTTTAATATATGTAGTATGTGTAATGTATGTATGCATGTATGTTTGTAATGTGTGTATGTTATGTTATGTTTTGTTATATGTTTTGTTATGTTATGTTATGTGGGTAATGCGATGTATGTAGTGTATGTATGTAATGTAATGTAGCGCAACGTAGGCCCGCTGAGCCCGTTGGGCTCGTCGGGCCCATTGGGCCTGTTGGGCTTGTTGGGCCCGCCGGGGTCGTTGGGACCGCTGGGCCCGTTGGGCCCGTTGAGCCCGTTGAGCCCGTTGGGCCCGTTGAGCCCGTTTGGCCTGTTGGGCGCGTTGGGCCCGTTGAGTTCGTTGGGCCCATTGAGCGCGTTGGGCGTGTTGAGCCCATGGAGCGCGTTGGGCCCGTTGATTTTATTGAACTGACCGGTTTAACACCTGGGTTCTGACTGCACTAAGTGACGGGTATTTTGCTGCACTAAGTGACCTGTTTAACACTTGGGTTCTGACTGCACTAAGTGACGGAATTTTTGCTGCACTAAGTGACCTGCTGACCGGCTTTTCTTTACTGAGAGGCCCTTGCCGTAGGATATATTTCTTGCAAGTCTGCTAGATGAGGTGGTTTTTAGGACTGCCTTTCCTTTCTCACTTTTCCGAGCCGCAAGAAAAAAGAGCCTGCTGACTGTGAACGTCTGAGCCTGCTTGCGTCTCAAGCTCATCAAATATAGTTGAAGCCAGTTTACTTCCTGCCTCGCCCTTCTTCTTTGTAGATGCTAGGGACAGTACGCATCAACGTGCAGCATTTTGAAAGGGTTGCTGCACCTGAAGGATCAAAACAGTGTATTTGTTTAGTACACAAAAAATGCATCATTTTTTGTGTAGCAATTTTGTGTAGTAATTTGTGTGTAGTAATTTGGGGTAGTTGTGTAGTAATTTGTGCATTGTTTCAACACATTTTTGTGTAGTAATTCGGCCAAAATTAAGTTTTTGGCTGTGTAGTAATTTGTGTGTAGTAATTTTTGTGTAGTATTTGGGTGCGTAGTAAAGTTTTGTGTAGTAAATTTGTGTAGGCTTTAGCGAAAAGCTTCTTCTTTTTTGTTTTTATAGAGAGATGTGTCTGGGCAGTTTTCCGCGCAATTTGCTGGAACAAAATGAGCAGATGTTTGCGTCGCACGAACGAATGGCCGCGAGGTTTTGGCTATATAGCAAACATCTAGGTTGGCTTGCGGCGTTTCAGACACGGGCAGCCCGTCCCAAGATGACATTGGCCGACTACGAAAATGCCCTGGGCAATTGCAAGTGACAAAGCTTGTCTAAGCTGCTGGCTGGAAATCATTTTGCCTTACCTTGACAGGACGGGTTGTTGCGGCTCCATGTGTGCCATGCGGTTCCAAACTCGGCGCATTGCCATGTTTTTCCTGAAGTTTACAGAGACGCCTGCTCAAAACACAGGACTTTGCGCAGCTCAGCTATGATGATTTGCAAAGACTGCATTTGCGACCTTCTGGTTCCGACTGTGGGGGCAGAAGAAAATGCCAACCACCCTGACCTTCGGATGACTGCAAATGACGGCGGCGCGGAGGCGAGACATTCGCAGGAGGACGTGTCAGACACAGATTTCACAAGCAACGCTGCGTAAAATGGCGTCTTTTTGTCAAACCATGCGCTTCCTGAGAACCATGGAGTAAATATGCGCAAACGGAAGCCATTTTGTGGCTCACACAGCATGGAAACATACCTGTGGCTGTCGGCTTTGTTTTGCTTGGTGCTAGCCATAGAGATCGCCAGGCTGTTCTTTGATGATGATGATGATCGCCTTCCTGACCATGCAGAGATCGAGGAGTGCATTTGAAGTTGTGAAAAAGTAACACCGCCGTGTTGAAAGGAAATGTGCCTTTCATATGTTTGTGCGTTGGCCGGGCCGTGCTAATCTGGATCCAGGAGGCAAAACTCGTGTGATTCAACTTGCCAGAAATGCCGCCCGGCCAGACAGTTGTTTCTGTGGTAACACAGGTGATACTGCGCAACACTTTTTGTTTTTGTTTGTGCTACTTGATTGATGTTACCCGGTTACATGCTTGTAGGGGGGGTTCCTGGGGCATGATTTTCTGGGGGCATGCTTGCGGGAGGGATGGTGCCGAGCAGGCACCTTGTGGGAGCCGAGCAGGCGCGACGCCGAGCTGGCGCACCCGCAGTAGGGGGCATGAGTTTCTGTTTTTGTTTGTGCTGCAAGTGAGTTTTTTTAACTTCACACACATTGAGAAGACTAGTGTTTGAGTTTTTGACACGTCTCAGGCTCTCACGGCCGAAGTTATGAACAAAGACGGCCGAAGGCTGGGGGGGAGAGTGTTCTCTAGCGGCGCTTCGTATTCCCACACACGCACCTTGACCACTTCTGGGCGCGGCTGCGCAGTCTCTTTCGAAAAGGGCAAGATCCTTGTGATGCCATCGCGCAGTTCTACGCGTGCTCCGAGCAGGCTGAGCCAGATGCCACAAATTGACAAGATCCAGGAAGGGCGTGGCCTAGACAGGCACCAGAATGACAAGGACCACACCCCAACAGGCTCGGCTGCACAGTGACTGCGTTGCCTTTGAGACAGTTGATGCTGCAACACAGTTGATACTGCGCAGCACTTTTTGCCACAATATAATCGGGGCACGCGTTTCGCCGATTCAGGGAAAGGACCTTCTTTTTT